AAATTTCAGTCAAAAATACTTGGAAAAATAATATTTTTTTTTGAGATACATTCGATATCGTATCGTCTGATTCACTTTTGAGAAATTTGAGTTTGCATCGTGCCGTTTCCATGGAGATGACGAGCTGAGCAGCAGGCCGAGTCGAGCCAGGAAAATTTTAGCCAATCATAAATTTAGGCGAGAAAGTTTGACCAATGGAAACGATCACTTGTTGCTTTGTACAACCCCATCCACAATCTTCTTCGGACTGGCGTCGATATAGCGGTCGCGTTTAAATAATACTATCGCGCCGACGTATAAGATACAACGCAGACGCCGTTTTGAACGCGGCCACTGAGCGCCAGCTGCAGTTTTGATTGTTGGCTCGGTCTGTAGTTCCGCCTTGTAATAATCGCGTTTAAAAAGGGGGGGGGGGGCCTTGAAAGCGTCTTCCCAACACAAAACTCAAAATCTACACCACAGCTTTACATTATTTCAATTGCAGAGGTATCGTTCATTATGAGTAATGCTCAAAAAATCATCATAAAATCAAATGTGCGTATGTAAGAAATCTGAATGTAGAGAATTTCATCCTATATTTATTCGTGTTTAAATCTTTTAGAGGTTGATGTGTATGTTGTGGCGATGTTTTTATAAGCAGGTCAACGTGGTGAACACTTATCGAACTGGCATGTCAATCGAATTATTTAATATTGAAGGATTCTTTTGAATTTTCAATGTGAAGTTAGTTGACTGCTATAAGTATGCAAACCACAAGTGGATCCTTTGATCAGTCGGATCAACGTAAGTTTCCGAAGTACTATGGTCGTCAGTGTACAGCTAACCTCGTACAGCAAATGCTCGTGAATACATGTTGGGTTAAGCAATTACTTTACAGCATAAACAGACTCAGAATCTACAATTCCTTTAAAAATGTAATAAATCGTTGTAGTATTGTTATGCCACACTGTAAAATGCTTGCAAACTATATTCTTTGCAACGTTGCAAAGAATTTGTGAGCTTTGTATTGCAAAGAATTAGTTCGTATTGCAAAGAAGTTCTTTGCAAGCTGGCAGAATCCTTGCAAACAATGTGTTTGCATTGCAAAGAAATAGTTTGCAAGCTTGCGAAGAACTAGTTTGTATTACGATGCTTGAAAATTCTTTGCATGCTGCAAAGCAAATAGTTTGCAATACGAACCTATTCTTTGCAAGCATTTTGCAGTGCAATGTTTACATCAAAATGTAAGGGGGCCGTTAACGCGTTGGCGTTAAAAATTTTCATCATCAAATTTTTTTCAGTGTCAGATATGGGGGACGGGAGGCTTGCCCACCTCTTCTTGAAACCGCTCCTGCTTGCAGGACTTTCGGAGTCTGTGGCAATGCGTTTCGTCACCAGGACAGGAAACGGTTATTCATGACAACGAACGTGATTATAAGTTTGGTAACACTTAACAGGGACTGCTGAACAACAATGGTTACAAGTCTGTGGACGCTGTGGCTCAGCGATGCCGACGTGCCGTTGAGGCGGGGCAGTGGAATAAAGCGACGGACGAGTGGCGCAACGCGGAGACGGCAGTCATGTGGGCGGTGCCGGGCTTCACGGGTGACAACTTCTACAACATTTATGGCGGTCAACTGCACCCGAACAGAACTGGTGGCCAGTTCACTACTCTTAAGGCGACTGCTAAGACGCAAGGAATGCAGTCAAAATTGCAAGGTAATCTAATCACCGATTATATGTTTTGTTTTCGCAGCTGAGATGTCAAGCGATGCTGTTTTCTGCATTCCTGTCCGTTTTCTTTTTTAATCAAACGAGACTTTTGGCATTTGGTCATATCCAGGAGTGCCGCTGTCACAACAAGCGTATGCTTTGCACGCCAGTTCCAGGAGCGTCTCTAGCATCATGAAAATCGTTCGCAAAGCGCTCGGCCTTCCCTGGTACGTACGGCACGAGGCTCAGAGCAACGCTGTCTTCAAGGCACTTGAAGGGGACTTTATGAAACCAGTCGTGGACATCGGTAAGTCACAATAATGAAACAGACACGGCACAAACAGACAAATGGTTTGTGATGACGCGTCACATGCATAGCGTTTTAGTGCGCTAGTGTCTCGATTTCCATTTTCTTATCTGTGCTTACTACTTATTTTGAAAATGTTTTTAACAGTGGAGAAGCTTCTTTCTGAGACTACCATCGAAGTGACTGTTTTCAATGGCGAGTGGGATCTGATCGTCGACGTCATTGGTAAGAAACAATTGTAAAGCTTTCATTGCAAATGAAGCAGACGCAGCATCCTCCGCTTGCCCACCTAAAGTAGAAATCCGCAGCTTAAAACATTGAAGCGAAAAATTGGAAAACTATTTTGGGATGAAGTGCACTGGACACATTGTGTAGAGGTGTTTGTCTATTGGAGCCACTGATGAAGTTCAATTAAACATTAACACTGTACATTATAATGCAATGCTGCATGTTCCAGGTACCCTCGATTGGATAAATCGCCTGCAGTGGGCAGGAGCAGACTCTTGGAAGGCAGCTCCCCGTAAGCCGCTCCTCGTCAATGGGGTGGACAATGGATACTCCCAAAGTTGGGGTAACTTTACATTTTACTCCATCAGCCAAGCGGGGCACATGGTGAGCAGTCCTGCTTTTCGTTTCTTCCCGACCCCGACAGCTTCCCACAAATTGACCCCTTTTGTTTTGAAGTTACCTATATTAATGAAAAAATATCTTAAGCCATAGCATAAAGCATTCCGCGAGGGGTCGACCACTTGGATATTCCATGAACACACATAAACATATACCGAAAGAATTGCAGATATTCCAGGAGGGGGGGAGGGGGAGGCTCGCTCAGAGTGACCCAAGTACTTCAAATTGCACTCTTCACATAAAGGATCAATGTTAGCCCCTCAAATTGCAACACGTCTGTGCACATCCAGAAAAGATGCACAATTCCTTAAGGGTACGCGGAAGACAAATCGTCGCACAGCGTTAATTTCGTTCCAATATTGCCGTCAACCAAACTGTAAGCGACACTGACATGCGGTTCTGGATCTGGATGATAGTTCCTACTGAAATCTGCTTCCTCACGTCGAGAAATTTTGGACTTCGTTCGCCATAGGACCAACATTTGAGCTGAAAATATGAAATTTTGTCAATTTCGTTCCAAGATTGCCTCCAAACTATGAGTGAAACTGGCATGCGGTTTTATCCGGCCGATAGTTCTAACTGAAATCTACTTCCTCACGTCGAGATATTTTGGACATCGTTTGTCATTAAACCAATACTTGAGCTCAAAGTATGCCATTTTCTTCCCCCTTTTTAAACCAGGGTGGCCACGCAATCGGAGCTATCAAATTCCCTGACTTTTCCCTGACCTTTCCCTGACTTTTTACGCAAATTCCCTGACTTTTAAAGGTTTTTTAAGTGGAACTTTTTGCCTCCGCAAACATTGAAAATGCCACCGAAAGTTTGAAAATAACGATTTCGAGCAAGATTCAGTCATTTTCCCTGACCAACGTTCAATTTCCCTGACTTTTCCCTGACTTCCCTGACCAATATTTTTTTCCCTGACTTTTCCCTGACTTCCCTGACTTCCAGGTTGCGTGGCCACCCTGTAAACAGACCTGGGTAGCTTCCCAATGGACTTATTTGAAAAATCAAAACGTCAGGAAGTAAAGCATTCAAAGAATGCTCTTGAATCAACCGCGTGTTGATTAGAAATTTACTTTATGGGTAATCATCGAACGAAAACGGCCGAAAATGGCCATCAAACCGCCCTTCCCCGCGTTTTGGCAGGGGCGGGCGGCTTATTTTGAGAAGCTAAGCGAGTTCGGCACCCAACCCCCAGGAAGCCCTCTGATTGGTCGAACCATGTCGTCCGCGCGAGGACGCTCGGAACCGAGATCCCCGACTCGTCTGCTGCGAGCAGCTGATAGAAGTAAACAAACCAGCTTTGGCTTTGCGTTTCGCGCAGATAGGATGCATTAAATTTTAAGCGGTATATAGTTTTTGCCTACCTTACAACCATGCCTTATTTTTTTAAAATTAAAATTGTATTTATTAATTAAATGTACGTAGGGCGCAACCCTATTTACTACTTAGTAAATTTTACAAGGCCAAAGGTTAGTTGTCATATGTAAGCCAACTGTCAAATTTATAAAAGCAATGCGCATTATTGGTTTTATACCCCTACCTCTTAAAAGACCGTCAAATATTATATTTCCTATGCCCAAATTTGATGTCAGCCTTTTTGTTTGGGATCGAATCACCTTAATAAACTGAAGACAGCAAGGTGGAGACAGTTAGTGGCAGGTAAGCATAACAATATTTTATTTATTAATATATAGTTATTATAATATATAATAATAAAAGTAGTCAAAATTAAAATTGCATATAAAACAATAAACATATCAATGTAAAAATTCTTTAAATCGTTCTTGTAGCAGACTTTCATACCTTATTGCTTTACTCCTTTATATCTTCAGTTTAACTTTCTTCGTTAACTGTCATTATTTTCACAGGAAAATGACAATGATAATCTCTCATTCGGAGAGTTTGGCCAGCCTCCAACAGCGTAACAAGTGGTTGTTATTACCCTTGATCATCGTTCAATCCTCACTTGAGTATTCACTGAAAACACTAGATTCGGAACACACATATACTTTACAACTCGTGATGATTTTAAATCTAAGAAAAAACTGTGTCTTTTTCGTTGTCAGCAGTAATAACCTATCAGCATGATAAATAAAGTGTGTTCTGATTAATATATTGATGTTATTTGATCCCTCATAGTCCGTTCAAACAAAGTCTGTGAAACTATAGTGGTGGGACATTTAACTCAGATAAATAGACAACAAACACACATGAAATTTTTCCCCTTTTATTGCACAAACTAGCAAAGGTTAAAACATAAGTAAACAAGCAGGAGGGGCATAGCTCAGCATAAAAACAACCTAAGGCTATAACTATCACCAATGGAGGAAATGCCACCATTAATAAACAGAACCAGAGACCAGAGATACTGCTTCATATACGGTAAAATCAAAATTATGGCATTTCCACAGGTGGGTGTTTGTGCATCACACAACCTTACAAAATTACGATCAATCAAAGCAAGCAATGATAAGAAACGACTGCCAGAGCACTAAAAAGGGAAGAAAAGCCTTTTCATTCGCAAGTAAAAGCATATCGGCGGCCGCGTAAACAAATAATCTCGTTCAATGGGGATGGTTCAAGCTTTGAAAGGCTCGCGAGCAGCCAGCAGACGAGTCGGGGGTCTCGGTTCCGAGCGTCCTCCCGCGGACGACATGGTTCGACCAATCAGAGGGCTTCCTGGGGGATGGGTGCCGAACTCGCTTAGCTTCTCAAAATAAGCGGGCGGGCCAGGCGGGCGAAGGTGAGCGAGGTTGGCGAGGCGGCCCGCTGTAACAGATTCATGACAGGTGCACCGAGCGAGCGGAGGTGCATTGTATGAGTGACATTGTCGCCTCTCGCCGCGAGCATCCTTCTCTCTCGCACTCGGCCGGGCGGGCGGCTAGGCGGCTAGCCGAGGTGGCGGGGAGAGGAGGTCGAGCACGCTGGACGGTCTGTGACACAATGGCGACGCGCTGGGCAGTGCTTGACAGTTAAAGCGATATAGTCCAGACGTTAGTGTCACCAACTTTGCATTTTGAGCTAGGTCGATGAAATTTGGTGGAGTTGTACTTCGATGTATGCCAAACATTTGTGGATGTTGTGCCAATTCGATTTCGC